CTTGGAGTACTTGTGGTTTGACAGTTTATACCAGTGATAATCTCTTATGTCAGATGCCTGAGATATCAACCTGTTTAGTGAATGTGACAATTCCAGACAGTTCCAGTTTTCATTGATTTATTTTGTCTTTACTGTTTTGCTTTTTAAATAATTAAAAGCTGAATTCCATAAACATCAATGTGTATCTTGTTTGTTTAGTCCTAAGTGTAAGATATCTAATGCCTCAAAATATCATATTAAGTGCAAGTAAACAGCTTTCTTAAAGGATAATTAATGAAGATTAAATACTGTTAGGTTATTCTGATAACAAATGATAACCAATAAATACTCACTTTAATAAGATTTGTTTTGTTTCAATATAATTAGGGGTGAATTTTATGGCGTGTGAATATAAAAACTTCCTGTTAAAATTAATGGTATTTTTATTTTCAATTTATCCTGTCCAGAGTTTTTTCAGTATCAAATTTCCCTTGACAGGCAAGGGAAGGCTGTTGTTTGACTTAAACCCCTAGGCTTACAAACACTAATGCTTAAAATTAGTTTAAAACAAGTAGTGCCTATTGAAATTTAAAAAAATTTTGTAAAGGGAGGGGAGTCTATCTAAAGAAAAAATAGAAAGTGACACTCAGGTAGAATTTGGATATGCCAATAATCATCAAGGAAGCAAAGGCTGGCATTTGGGAAACAGGACAAGGATGCCATAACCCAGCTTGTCATCAGATTGCCAAATTGAAGATGTATAGATGGTGGGTTATGACCTGCTGTTACTCTGCTCTAGAGCCTATGGTTTGCCTAGTCTACCGCTTTCCCTCAACTCCTACTGATCATAAAGGGTCTTGTACATCCACGGTAAGGAATCTGGATTTGATTCTAACTGCAATGGGATGGCATTTAAGCAAGGGATTTATAAGATCTGATTTAAGGATCAAATGTGCTGATGTGTGAACAGGCTCTGTAAACGCCAAAGCATCATACCAGCATATTTTATTACCTCGACAAAGGGCAAACTGAAAGGGAGATGGAAATAAGTCACACTAAAACCTAAGTAGGACAGGCCCAATCTAAATCATGTGGCCAGGAGTCTTCTCCTAGGCTTCTCTTAAGTTCCATTTAGGAAAATGGGAAAGACCTGGGGAAGAACAGGTTTGGTCTAAGAGGAATCAGGGATTTTATTTTTGACATATTAAGTCTGAAATGCCCATTAGAAATCTAACTGGGGATGCTGGGAAAGTATTTGGATATACATCTGGAGTAAAAGGGAGAAATCAGGATGGAAATATAGATTTAGGATCCATCACAATATAGAGTACTTAAACACAATATCCACTAACCTTTATAGCATGCTTACTGTGTTTCAGACACTATTTTAGGTGCTTTATATGTATTAATTTACTTGTTCCTAACCACAACCTTAGGAGGAACTAACGTCCCATGGTTATCCCTATTTTACAAATGAACTGAGACATAAAGAAATTAAGTAAATTGCCCAGAGACACGTAGCAAGTACGGTATGTACCACAGCAGGGATTCGAACCTAGGAAATCTGATCCCAGAATGCTTTAGAAGCCAAAGGACTGTTTGGGAGTACAGACACAACAGGACTAAGGAAGAGGAGGAGGACCATGCCCTCGTATACAGTATTTCAATTTAATTTCCTGAGACCCGAGTACCTATAAAGTGACGGGCACTGTTTCAGCCTTTGCAGACACAGCGACAAATAAGACAAAGTCCTTCAAGAAGCCCCATCTAATAGCTGCAAGCTGATAGCGACTATTTACTGAATATCTATGTGCCTGCCACACACTTGCCAAGCTTTTAGACGTATTTCACTTGGGCCGGCCGAGTGGCGCGATGGTTAAGAACTCGCTTGGGATGCCAGAGGGCCCCGGTTCGGATCCCACATATGAGGGCCAGTGACACTGCCCTCCACAGCTAAGATGCTGAACGACAGCTCAACCTGGAGCTGGGCTGCCATGAGTCGACGGCGACAGCGTAGGCTGCAGCCCCTGTGGCAGTGGGTTGCCATGGGCTACCGTATGTAGCCATCAGCTGCAGTGAGCGGCCAGCAGCCGCAGTGAGCGGCCGTCCAGAAGCCGGCGACTGATCTGCCTCGCCAGAGAAGAGCCCAATGATGGTGCCAACTTGGCCCAGTGAAGCAACAACCTCCACAACTAGATTGAAGAACAAAGGACAGCAACTTGTCTGTTCCCCTTTCCCCAATTCCCCAACACTGTTCCCATCCCCCCAATTCCCCAATAAAAATCTTAAAAAAAAAATTAGACGTATTTCACTTAATCTTCCTAACATTATGACATAGATATCATTATTGCCATTTCAGAAATAAGGAAACTGAGGTTCAGAGAGATTAAACAACATAACGTATAGATCACTCAGTAAGTAACAGAACTAGGGTTCAATCTAGGTCTAGAAAATGAGGTCTTTTCCAAAGAAATCCTGTTACCTGCCACAACATGGGTGAACCTTGAGGACGTTATTCTAAGTGAACGATTCCACTTATATGAGGTACCTAAAGTAATCAAATTCATAGCAACAGAAAGTCAGATGGTGGTTACCAGAGTCTGGAGGGGTAGGGAGGGAAACGGGGAGTTGTTGTTTAATGGATAGAGTTTCAGATTTGCAAGATGAAAAAATTCTGGAGATCTGTTTCACAACAATGTGAATATACTTAACACTACTGAATTGTACACTTAAAAATGGTTAGTAAAATGTTACAACTCAGTTTTTAACTGTATACCTTATTATTTTGTATTTGTTTAAAGTTATTTAACTAGTTTTACTTCTTTAAACCTAATAAATTATAAATATTTTTTTAAATGGTTAAGATGGCAAATTTCATGTTATTTTTTTAACTGAAATTAAAAAAAAATTTTTTTTAATCTGGTCTTTCCCAGTGTACCACATTCCATAATGGATATGCTTACTGTGCTATAGAAATAATTTCACACCTGTGAGGAACTAATTTATTCTGTAATGTGGGGAAGGGAGGAGGGAGGAGAGGAGAAAGGGAGGTGTGGCAAGGAAAAGATCAAGGCAACTTACCAAGAAAGGACACATATGCAAGATGAAGGTCCCCACTTGATCCTCACTATAGTTCTGGGAAGGTGTCTCCATCTCAACCTCTGAAATAGCTCCTACACCTGCACACCGCTACCCATTACTACAATAACCAGCCTAAACCAATATTCCTGCAGCCTTCTATCTGGTGAGCTTCTCCACTCTCCTCCCATTCCAAGTCATGCAGCACTGAAAACAAATTAAGTGTCCTCAATTGCTTCATTCATTATGTTGAAGAACTTGTGTGGCTCCAGAATGCCCTCAGAACATAGAGGATTATCAAGACGGTGTTTAGGAGCAAATTATCTAACCTTTCTGAGCCTTAGTTTTCTCCTCTGTGTTAAGGGATGAGTCCTGACTCCTAATTCAAAAGACTGAGGATTAAATAAAGACATTGCATACTTTGCACAATGCTTGATCCAAAGCATTTGCTCAGTGAAAGTGAATTAGTTCCCTTTCTGCCTATCCCCAATACAGGTAATCAGGTAATTGGGCTTAAAGAAGGAAGAGAGCAAGTATTTCCAGGCTCTTCTTAAGGCAAATAGAGAAAGATGGCAGGGGGAAAAGGTTCTTCATCTATGGTTTTCTGATGTCTAGGAAAATATGACTCACCCAGAACTGCTTCTTTATCTGTAGCCCTCCACACGCACAAACCACCTGGTCTTTATTTTATTCTGTCCTTTTAATCATATGAATAAGTAATACTGAAATGGTTCAAGATTAATACACATATAAAGATATACTGTGAAAAGTCTCACTCCCATTTTCTCCTCCATCTACCCAATTCCCACCCCACTCCCACCAACCACTTTATCATTTTCTTGCTTATCCTTCAAGTTTCTTTAAGCAAAAGCTGTTTTTAAATTAAGCTTGTTTTACAGGTGTGGTTACAAGGAAAATCCTGGGAACATGAAGGAGGAGGGGAAGGAGCCAAGGTCTTATTCTTCCTGCTTTACCCTAAAGCAGGGGCCTTCGTTCATTCATGAAAAAAAAAAACCGCAAACAAACAAACAACAACAAAACTAATCATATATTGGGCGCGTATTGTAAGCCAGATAGCAAATATAGCATTCATATTAACTGATTATCCTTCTGCCCTTACTATGCACCAGGAATGCACTTAATGCTTTACATAATTGTCTCTTTTGATCCTCACAACACCTTAAGGAGTAGGTTACTAATTATTATCTCCATTTTACAAAGGAGGAAACTGAGGCACAGAAAGGTAACTTGCCCAAGCAAGAAGAGAGCAGGGCTCTGAATACAGGCCTGACTCCAGAGCCCTCGTTCTTAACCATGACGCTCTACACTGGCAAAACCAAATACAGTCCCTGCACCCGTTGGAGCACAGCCTAAGTGAGATACTGGAGAGAAAAACGGGTAAACAAAGAAATAGGTAATTACACACTAAGAAAGTAACGTGAACGGAACGAATTCAGGGCTGTGACTGAATAACAATGGGGACCTACTTGGGGGGAGGAGTGTCAAGGAGCGGCCTCTCAGAGAGAATGACATATGATAAGCTTAAGAACCGTTTGGGGCTGCAGTGATGACCCACCGCCCACTTCAGAGGGGAGAAACTCCAAGCCCGCAGAGACGAAAGCAAATTAGCCCAGGGTCCCCCAGACATGAAGACGTGGCGCAGAGAAAGCAGAATCCAAGAGCTGGCCAGGCCCAGGGCTCGTACACGCCATCAATGCCCGAAGCAGCCCAGCCCCGCTCCGCCCCTAACCCGGGGCCTCTAAACGGCCGCTGCCCACCGCCCCACCGCGGCTGACAGCGTCCGTGCAGCCCACGGGGACGCCCAGGGGCCGGCCAAGGGGGGTCGGACCCATACTGCGGCGGCCCGGAAAGGCCTCTCCCCCGGCCCCCAGCCAGCTCCCGCCTGGTCCGCCCCGCCCCGCCCCTCCGGGCCGGCTTCGTACCTGCACCGCCCGGACCAGGCCCCGTCCAGTTAGCTGGCCCTGCCGCAGCTGCAGCAGAATGTTAGCGGGCCGCGGCCGGCCGCCCCATCCGCCCCAAGCCGCCACCGTTGCCGCTGCCCGTCGCCCTCGGTCGGCCCCAGACCCAGCAGACGCCGGCGCCGCCGCCATGTCTTCTCGTACGACAAACAGGAAGCAAGCGGCCCCAGGGCCGCGGAGATTTCTACGGGGCGGCGGAGGGGTCGCCGTAGCGCCCCCAGCGGGCTGTCACCGGAAGCGCAAGCCGCGTGGCAGGGGCCTGCGCACCGCGGGGGCTGCTGGGAAATGTAGTGGTGTTCCCAGGCGGGGCAGGTGCGAAAGAGAGAGGTGGGGTTTCCTGCACATAGTTGTTTATCGGGTTCCGCGTTTCGATGAGATCCTCCGGGTCGAAGTCAAGTCATGCATGCGCACTCTCCCATTTCTTATCTGTTTCGGGAGGTTACATCCAATTGCCCTGGAAAAGATCCTGGGCTTCAGGCCGGGAATCAGGCCGCCAGACTAATTCCTGCCTACCTCTCTCTGCCCTTGACTCGCCAACGGACCTTAACTCCCTGCGAGTGAATTTCCTTGTTCATTCAATCAGTTTCTGGGAGCCTATTCAGCCAATAAATAGTTCCTAGAGACCTGTTCTGCACCCGGCACCCAACAGGTCACTGGGAATACGGTGGTGAGAGGAAGAGACTAACCAGGTTCCCGTTTTGGAATGCAGGTTACAGGGGAAGACAGCAAATTTATACGCAAATAAACGCGCAATAACTAACTGGACAAGTTGTGAAACTGGATACTAGTTGTAAAGTTAAATGAAATAATGGAAGGGAAGGGAATTGGTATGCGACATCATATTCTGTCAGAGAAACCGTGTCCTAAGTTTTCCTCACCAGATAGTATGTTCTCTCTACTCTGAGCCCACATAATCATTCTTTTCGCAAACTTCTGTGACAGGCCCTATTTGTCTCCTTCCCTTTTCACTTCCTGGGAAGGGTCTTACAAATGAAAGAGGAGTGCTGGGTGTCATGCAATAAGGAATGATGGGGATTGTGACTCAATTTATCGCCCAAACCAGAACACTTTTAATGAAAAGACAGTATTAACTTACACTAGGACAGTAGGCATACATGGGGACTGTCCCAGGAAAACTGGGATTATGGTCACCACTCTCATATTTAAAATGAGTGGCCTCTACTGCCTCTACAGGATTGTTGCTGGATCTTCTAGTTTTTCCAGAAAAGCCAAAAATTTGGGTTTTTATGTGAAATTCCCAATTTTGAAAACTCCATGGGCCAAATAAAACCCTGTTTATGACCCCAGGAACAGGGAGACCAGGAATGGATCCATGTATACGTGGAAGTTTAGTGTGTGGTAAGGGAGATAATTTCAAATCAATGGGGAAAGAAAAGAAAAGAAAAAGCTCTTTAACTTCACACCAAAATCTAAAATGAATCTTAGCCATATTAAAAGCTATATATAAAATCAAAGTATAGCTCTAAAATTTGATTGTGGTAATGTTATACAACTCAAAATCATTGGATTGTACACTCAAAATGGATGAATTTTATGATATGTTAAGTTATACCTTAATAAAGCTGTTAAAAATCAAAGTATAAAAATAGTAGAAATGGGCAGAGCGCACACCTAGGACTCCAAGATGGTGTCAGTCCTACCACTGAAGGAGAAGAAACTCACGGATGTCAAAATAGGGGAGCTGCCAAGGTGGATACTGATGTGGGATTTCACCTCTAAAGGCATTGCTGGAGCGTGTCAAAGACGTTATTACTGGTATTACAACAAGTATGTCAATGTAAAAAAGGGAGCGTCGCTGGGGTTTCTATGGTGCTGGCAGCTTATGTGCTTTTCAGCTACTGCCGTTCTTACAAGGAACTCAAACATGAGCGGCGACGCGAGTACCACTGAAGAGGGCTCAGTGTGGAGGGCACACTCTGCATTCCTGACCATGACCTTTGCCCAGCACCACTGAATCCTTTCGTATCCCAGTTGACACCTAATAAAAGATGACTGCTTCTGGGCTGCAACAACAAAAAAGTAGAAATGAATCTGTGAAAATACTTTTATGGTTTGGGCTTACAAAAGTTCTTCTAAATCATAAAACTCAGAAGTCATGAATAGGAAAAGATTGACAAGCTTGACTTCAATAACATCAAAACCTTCTTTATAAGACACTATAAACAACCATAAAAAAATAAGTGATATTCTGGGAAAGAGTCAAGAGCAGAATTTATGAAGAACTTACTGTGTCTTCTGCCTGAAGTTCTCATCCCGAGAAAGTTCTCTGAATGGCTTGTTTTCTCATGTACTCTACGTTTCTGTTCAAGGAGAGACCTTCCCTGACTGTCCACATAAAACAGCATTCCTTACACTCTCCACCTTATTACCTACTTTGTTTGTTTGTTTTCATAGCACTATCTCCACCTGACATATAGTTGTTAACTTTCTGCACCCCCCCCCTCCTGACTAGAGTGTAATTTTGGTCTGTTTTGTTCATTTCTGCATTCATCTCCAGCAACTAGTTTAGTACTTGGCACCTAGTAGATGATTGAATATTTGTTTACTGGCTCAATGAATTAATGAACAGATGAAGAGAACTCCTACAAAAATACAAGGAGGGCCGGCCGAGTGGCGCGATGGTTAAGAACTGGCTTGGGACGCCAGAGGGTCCCGGCTCGGATCCCACATATGAGGGCCAGTGACACTGCCCTCTACAGCTAAGATGCTGAACAACAGCTCAACCTGGAGCTGGGCTGCC